CCGTTACCACTATGAGTCATGTTCATAATTATTGGACCTACTTTTTTTATTGCGGGTTAAAAAACAGGACCTGTTTAGAATAACATTTTGATTCAATGTATTTATATTTTATACACATAGGTAGAGAAAATACCACACTGTCTTATAATCATCTAATGGTTTGCCACAAATTATAACCTTTAAAAAGGAAATATGTTTGAGAAAGAATGTTTTTTAAGAGACATGAGTGTGATAACTACCAATGAAAACAAATTCTGGACTCTAACTCTTATCAGTGTAAACTGTTAGGTTTTATGTAATAAAGCAACACAAATTAGGCGATGTAGAGATAGGGATATACCATTTTCTGCATCTTTATTTCACAAATAAAATCCTAAAATTTGGGTGTGAATTCTCCTGATACTGGTTTATTCTATTTCCACTATGGATTCAAATTATCTATTAAGTAAATCATTGGATATTATTCATTGATTGGCAAAGGATTAATTAAAGAGAGGTGATTTTTCTTTTTTTTTAACTCAGTTTTCTCTTTTATTGACAGGATCTTTCCATTTTACTTTGCATCTTGCCAGAAGCCTACAGTATAGATGCCTACACCTCGATAAAAAAAAATATTTTTTATCAAATGAAATGCAGTGTTGTGTATGACCTCAACCAGAAGCAGAATGCTGAAGTAAAACAAACATGGCTGCACCAGTTTCAGCTGGAATACCCTGCATTTACTTTATGAAAAATAAACAAAATGACTTCATTTGTGCCCTTGTGCATGGGGTAGGTGTGTGGGAGCTGTACTTGCTTTGTTTCACATATGTAATTTCAGGTGGAATTTACTCCTAAGACCCTCAGGGCTTAAGGCGTTAAGATGGGTTCATAAATTAATTGTATTGTACAAATTTTAATATATATATATATATATACAGTATATATATATATATATATATATTAAACAACATTATTTCTAAATATCTCTTTGCATCCCTAATATCCACTAAATGCTGCTTATTGAAAACAGTCCATCTGTGTATATTTAAACATGTAAAAAACTCAGCTATGTTTATACAGGATTGCCAGATTTAAATAATGTAACCTTTCATTTGAAAAAGTTAAACGTTGGAAACTTTTGCAAAGCTCTTTAGACCCTTTTATTCCCCCCGTCATAATAAACATTTCATTATTAATTTCTTTCCCATTTAGTTCATATTGTAAAAGAGGCAGAAAAAAATTTACTTGTGAGAAAAGTAATTTAGACAAGTGAGATTGCCTTGCAGTTTTTGACCGATTTAATTTAATTTGAAGTAAATAACAAGGCCATGTAATTCTAGAGAAATCCCTCATTTGTCATTTTTTTATTTCGGCTAGCGTTTATGCAAATCCATTTTATTGAAGCAGTTTTATTCTCCTGGGATTAACTTAAACAATATGTTATTTGCTCTCACACAAACGTACCATGAACAGACAAACATTGGAGTGATACAACCAAATATATAGTCATATTTGCTACCAAAGTCTGTAATTCTCAGTCAACACTGGAAAAGAAAAGAAGATGGAAACGCGTCTCTCTGACGCAGACACAGGCCACAAAATATGGAGCTATGCAGTGTTATAACGAGACAAGTAAAAAAGAAAATGCTGCCTTATCTAGAGTAAATTAAAAAGCATTTATTTAGGCAGTTATTATAAAGGCTGTGGAAAAATTGTTTTGATTGAATTTCTGATCAATTATTAGATGCTTGGACTTTTAGATAAAAATAAAAAGATATCTTTTAGCAAATCAACATTCCTCAATAAACAGTTTTAAACTAAGAAACTGATAAAAATGTGTAAAAGTGTAATTAGTGTGTTGCAGATGATATGTAAAGATTCTGTATGCAGTTGGAAAAGTGGTTTCAGCTGCCTTATTTAAATCAGGACTTTATTGCTGTTACCATGGAGAATTCTTGAAAGCAACGTCGATTTACTTTGCGTGTCCCAAAAGGGGCTACAATTTACAACAATGTTCCACAGAAATGGCATCCATGATATTCAGGAGAAGAAAGAGGGTTTTCTATGTTTGTGTGACATGAAAAAATAATCAGGACTCATGGCTAGTAAAATGACTGAAGAGCAAACTCAACACCTCTGGCTCGGGCATCTACATTCCAACTGTTAAAGCCATTGAAGTTTTTTTTTTTTTTCTGAACACAGTGTAACTCAGAAATGTTTGTCTTGAAATCTGCTCATATTGATGTGATTATCTATTACTCATAGCTACTTTTGGCAGAATTCTGACTTGATACATGACACTGATATTACATATATATATTTTTTTAAACTTGTAAAAGAAAAAAAATCAAAAGTTTAAATCTGTAAAGGAGCCCATACTTTTCCCCAGTTGCCCATGAACTGCTAGAGGCAGCTCAAATGGGGGGGAGTGTAGGCGGGTTTGAGACACAACTGTTTTGTTTAAAGAGGCCTTTTATATAGAGATTGCTAATGTAAATGTGAACCAAATTACTTTCAAATGACACCAATACTGATACCTAACTTCTTCAGTGATAATATTTGATGGTGTTTGGCCCTCTGGGCTTCCCTAATGTAGCATCCCCTCAAACACCCATACTATGATGGGCTGATCTCTGTGTGAACCCATTAATGCTGTGGGACTGAAAGAAAAGCTGCAGAAGTTTATTTGAAACATGCTTTGTTTAAACACTGATATCAACGTTTTAACTAAATTTACTAAAGGAGAAACAATCTTACTGTGGTTTTGAGACCCAGCTGGTTTTTTTTTCACATTTAACTGCATTTCATTTGTACCAGCATAGAGGCATTGCAAGCCATCAAAAGTTGAAACTGCAGGGTTTTATAGCTGTCATGCTCAAATAAGAGTGAGGATTTTAAAGGTCAGCATGAGAGCACTCAGGAAAAGATGAAACAAATAGTCTTGTTTCCCCCAATTGCTGTCTGAGAAAATTGGCAACAATTACATCTGGAGCGACTCTGGGCTATTCTGTCAAGTCCATGGATTTCCTGGCATGTGTGACAAATATCTAATTCTGGAAAACATCCTCTCCCAAGTCCTGCCTTTTCCAGCTGATCGTTTCACACACAGGTGGATGACATTTTTAGTGCCTTTTTCTTCCAAACATGGTGATCTTCAACAGCTGCCAAGCTCATTTTTCTTGCTGCTGCTGCTCTCAACCCTCTGTGAGGAAATGTGAACCACTCTTTTTATTGTCTAAGTAGGCCATCAGTGCAAATAAATGCAGGAAATGTTTATTCAGTGCAAGGGATAATAGGATGTCTTGTTGACAACCAGTTGTTCTGTGGTCAGGATCAATGTCAACTTGTAAAACACCCTCCGTTTGGTTGCTGGCATAGTACAGCAGGGGGCAGCTGGCAGGGTGGACACGGTTCAGTGTGCTGCCAGCTATGCTCTCTAATGGGCCCTGATGCCCTGCTGCAGGACAGAAGACTTTTCATGGTTGGAAAAATATTACTTATACTAATCTGGTCCAATGAATATCTGACTTTTTCTCAGAAGCCTCTATGTGGTTGTGTGCTGTTATAAAGGAGCAATACGCATTAATTAATATAAACAGATCAGATAAATAGTTACCTGTAGAACTAAAGGTATGATTTTAGGTTGGAATATGGTATGACGTCACACACCGTCTCTCTGTGGTTAAATGCCATCATAGCGTAGGAGCATCTAACTTAGATTGCTGTTGCAGGCGGGCTATTCATTCTGCCGTCGCAATGTAATTACTAACTAAACAGTCTACTAACACCATTAGCCGCAAATTTACAACATTTGATGCTAATAGGAAACACTTCATTAATGGCATAATTATTCTGTCTTTGAAAAACGATAAAGAAAAATTGAGGAAATGGAGGGGTTTTCTGAGGGCTGGTGTGCAGCTGGGGTGGAGATAGAGAGAGGCATGGCACTCATTTCATTTTGGCCTATAGAGTGTGCTCAACAGCCCCACCTAGTAGCTACGTTTTTCTTATTGGTTGTTAAAGGCGCTGGAATTTACCAAACTAAGAGCCTGATCTTAAGAAGCTTTATGTGTCTTACAACAGGTGCAAATTTGTTAGTAGGCACATAGCAGATCTTCACAGAGGGTACAAAGTGATTTATGTTTTCAATTCAGCAGATGGTAGCTAAAAAAAAACGTTTTTTGAGTGTCTGCCTTCATTAATATGACCAAACTGTGCAAAATAATGTTTGGAGGGTCAGTAAATGTATGTACATTTAAGACGTGCAAACAATGTTTCAAATAGTCAGCTCAACTGTAGCCGAGGTTCTTGTGTTGTTTAGTACTCCTGAAAGTCGGTTGCAAATTGGATGCACAAAATATTTGCAGTTATTGTAGCCACAAAGGAGGCACTGGTACAATGACGGTGGAGGGCGTTAGTTTATGTGCACATCTACACATATTTATCAAAAATAACAACAGTTAAAAAGATAATAATGAGTGGAAATAAAGTCTGTGCAGGTGGGCATAGATTAATGCCGTAAGATGGCACATATTCTTTATACAATTAAACCAAAACAAACAAAAATAAGGCTAAAGTTAAGTGGGGCAGAAATCAAAAGAGCCTGCAAAGAGACATGGGGAGTGCATCTCTTACTGTACTCTGAGACTGAGATTGTAGATCACATGAAACACTCCCACCTATTGCACGTACTGAAAAGAGTTACAAATGCAGTGTAGCTCCTCCTGTTGTAAATCTTTAAAGATCAGGTCCACAGAGTCTTGGTTTTAGCCTTTCTGCCTCTTCATTACCAGAACACGCTAAACATTCTAGACGTCTTGGAACCAACTTTAAAGTCTGATCTTTGAGTCAAATGCTCACTCTTTTAAAAAGATATGTTTTTATTTAAGACAGGTTTAATTTAATGTATTAGCTGTTTAAATGCTTTATTCTTTCTGAAGAACTTTGCGACATCAATGATGAAGGTGCAATATACTATAAATGATTATTTTCCTAATACACAAATATTTGGTGCCAGCATGGCTGCAGAGGTTGAAGGTGAGGAGGGAAAGCCTATTAGTGCTCAGACCATACGCCACACGCCACAGTACAAAGAGTAAGATTCTTATAATAATAACCACAGATTTTCCTATAGCTGCATGAATCATGACAGCAGACAAGATAGAGGAAAGCAGCAGGCGGGGTTACGAATCTACTTGCTCTGCTACTTGTTTGGCGCTTTTACATGTTGTCGCCAAAGTCTCCAGTAGCAGAAAAAAGTCGCTAGATTTTGCGCTAGGGGCTTTTTTGAAATAAAAGTGCTAAATGGGTCTGAAAAGTCACTAAATGTGGGGATATAAGCGGTAAGTTGCAACACTGGTCTTCACACCGTTTGTTTTCAAATGGTTTGCTGCTGTCTGTTTGGACCTTTCTGAACATGTGCAGCAATGTGGTGGACACTGAAGGGAGTGGGGGCTAAGACACAATTAATATTATATGCGTTCTGATGGCATTTTAGTGAAAGGATTGGATCTATACAGTAAACAGAGTTTTATGAGCCCCCAGGTACTTTGGGGGCCTGGGCAACTATCTAGGATTGCCATATGGGAAATCCTCCCCGTTTAGGAGTAGTTTGACTGCACCATGTTTTTTTTTGTCTTTTTTTTTTTACTTTTACTTAAATTAAATCCTTGACTATACTACCAACTGTAAGTACATTTACTAAAGAGAAAATAAGGCAAGGTAAGGTGAGGCAAGACTCAGCCCTATCTACTTATTATATGTCGCTGATAAACACAATCTGCCAAGTGCAAAAAGTGCTTTTGTCTAGCTTAGGGATTTTGTACGTCTCACAAGAAGTGATGCAAAACTGTCTTTAATTTCTTTTAAAGAAATCCCTAAATTATATCCAGAATATTTTCTTAGTTCCAGTGAGAACACAGGCAGCAGTGTTTTGGATTAGCTGCAAATTTTGACATAAATTACCAGACACACTTAAACTATCACTAAAATGAGTATTAATTTTTGTTCATTTTTGCTCTAACATGATTTTAACTGCAGAGACTTTTATGACATGGAGGTGAAAGTAATACTATAGTATCCTTGGGGGTAATTTACTCTGGTCTATCATACATGCATACGAAAGGGTTTCATATGATTAATGTTAGATAAAACAGATTTTGTGTTTCCTCTGCCTAAATTTATTTTACAAATACTCTTTTATATAATTATTTTTGTCTTTAAAACAAAGTGAATTTGTAAATAACTTCATATCATGGTGTGCCTGATTACATACTTTTAAAAAGTGAAACTGTTACTCGGTACTTTAGTAACAGTACCTTTTTACCAAATTTTTTTTTACTTGAGTTATTTCTTAAACCGCTACTCTTTACTTTACTCAAGTTTGAATATGTTGAGGTAGTACTACATAAATGTGATTACCATTTTTGGTACTCTGCCTGCCTCTAGTCATTTTTCTTATATTATTTATATATAAAAATATACACTTCTGCCAGTGATTTGATGTTTTACTCATATCTGTAGTACAGCCATCTTTGTTTGCAGTTATATTAATCCATCAACAGGGAGCGCAGAGTTTAACCCAAACTTTCAAAAATGACTCATGGATAGCAACTTGCTGATGCCATGCTGGAAATGATAAAAAAAAAAAAAAAAAAAAAAACATTTACTCATCTAATAAGACCTAGCAATCAATTTTCTAACTAATTTAGCCTGAATGAGTCATAGTTTAGTTCACTGTAACACTTGAGTGCCTTATGCTGCTTACCAGTTTAGCCAAGATACACTTGAATGTCTATTCCGTTTTATTGTGTGGCAAGATTTGTAATGAATCAACTTATTTTCTATTACCTGTGTGGGAATAAGCATTTTGAACAAGAGGGATGGAGGAAATGATTTACATTATGCCGAGTAAACTCTGTGGCTTTAGCGGGGTTTTCTCATGTAAAAAGTGAATAAGAAAATCTGATTTAAAAATATTGTAACATTTTTAGATCACTAACATAAGATTCTTCCTGAAAAAAATCACACTCCTAGACGGAACTGTAATAATGTATTTTCTAAATTCCATTTTTGCAGCAGACACTGAATTTCAGAAAGTAAAAAAAGCAACATTATACCAGTAAGAATTAATGTTTTATATACCTAGAAATGTTAACACATTTTAGGTGGCCATTTTGATATTTCTCATCTTGACTGAATAGGCATTTATAATATCTGAAATACATTTCTTTACTCTCAAAATAATACAAATGCTGACCAGTAACAATAGGAATATGGAGTTCTGAAATTAATTTCTAGACATCCAGGATATTTATTCTAGAAGTGACCTTTTTGACATTTTTACCAGGAAAAAATGACCAAAAATATCTTTAGATATCAGGAATACATTTTCAGTAAAACCAACACAAATCAAAACGGCCTGCCATAGCCTGTTAGGACCACGATAACATTACAGGTTTATTTCTTGAATGGTTGTAGATTAAGGATTCTATTTAGATTAAATAATCTTGCAGCAGGTTAAGATGAAGTCTAAAAATGTTATTCTAATAAATAGAACCTGTTCATCATCTCATAGGGTTCCTCCTCATGTTGATTCTGTCTTCCATCATACAGTAAATACTAAGCAGCTGTTTGCAGCAGCTTTGGATGTTATTATCCCAATAAATAGCTGTAATGAGTGGTTATGAGTCTTATAAAAGGGCTTTGAATTTTGCCAGTAGGATCAGTAGGTTGTAGGCTGGCACAGAGTGAATCCTAATCCTAACCCTAAAGTAATTCCTTTTTCCCGCGGAATTAATAAATCTATATATGTGTAAACTGAAAAGTAGTTCTTCATGTACTGTAAAAATAGATAAAAATTAAACAGTCCACATGTCACTCATATAAAAAAAAAAAAAAAAGCAAATAAATCTGTTATCCTCTCAACTTAGTTGTATAATCCTCTCCCTATAAATATTTAATTCTCTGTGGAAAAAAATGACGATCATTGTTTAAAAAAATCCTCATCAAACAGACATGCAGTGTTTGTTTTTAAAACCTACTGTGTCTAACGGACCTAGTTAATAATTTTTATTTTATGCACAAAACTGCGACAAAAATCGGACTAAATCAGGAAGTAAAACAGCGTGATTGGCTGTAAGGAGAGCAGACAGAGTTAGCTCTGGGGAGAATGTTACTACAGCAACAGAAGCACAGGTTGAGTAAAATCTCTTTGAGAAACAGAAAAGTCAGAATTTCCCATATTTCAGGTTTGGAAACTTGAGTTTTCAGTAAACCTGCTTCGTGAAACAGACCCTTGATCTATAGATACTTTCTATGTTAGAAAAGGTGAACTAGATCCACAGGTGGTTCTGTCTAATAATGATGAAAGAGAGCACATACAATTAGTCACAGTAAAAATTGGGCCAATTGCTATAGATAACTCACAATAACACATCAACATTAACAATTTTATTGGTTAGTTAAATTTGTATAGAAGATCTCTAGACCCAATACTTCATATTCACATCCTCAACTTTGGGAATCAATGCTCTTGTGAAATCAGAAACCAACAGTGTTGAGCTTTTAAAATGTTACGAAAGTACAGTTGGCCACATAGAATGGACATAGTGTGAAAAATGTAAAACTTCTTCCCTCCCTATAGAAACTGGCTGTTTGTTGTTTTTTCAAATTGACTGTTTTACGAGCTGTCCACTGATTGTTTATGGGATCAGGATATTACATACTTGAATGGAACAATAATTAATAATAGCCTTCACCTGTCTGCTGTGTTTACTTTTTACATGATGCTTTTACTCTTAAAGATAGCCGCACTCATAGTGGGATGAGATTTTACACAAAAATAGCTTCTTACTGTTAAAATAGCTTCTAAAAGCAGCTGTCCAAAGTGGATTTTTTTTGTGCCTTATTTTCAATATTAGTTTTAAGCAGGTATCAAAGTGATAAAAAGGAAACATAAAACATCATAGAAATGCTCCAGAGCATACAGTTCTCATTTTTTTATCCCTGCAGTGGGTTGGTACCATTTTGTTCTGAAGTGTTTTTCTTCTGTTTAGCCTTGACTGGAAACAGAGATTTTCTAGGAACTGTAATTCTTGGAAAATGGATCATAAAATACCTAGCATATTCAAGTTTGATGGAAGACACACCTGAACAGCAATTTATTGTGAAAGTTCTTCTCCACAGTGCTGACCAAACATATCTGAGTAACAACATGCAGCTGGAGGATTATTTTTTTCAGCTCAACAATAACAGAGCTAACCATTTGGCCAACAAGACGTGTGTTGTATTCAAATGGTTATCATTTAGTCTTAGAGCTTTTTCATATGTTTCCTGTAACTTCTTTTTTTTTCATTATTGTTCTCCTGTGTCAGTACAAATTTATATTTTTTTTATGTTTCCAACTTTTTGTTTACCTTACCATAGATGCTTAAAATAGATATCAAGTTTAATAGGTTCAAAGCAGTGGAAGGCACAGTTCTTTGTAAAAGCTTGTAGTCATGTTGCACCTATAGCTGACTTCACAACACTGAAAGAAGAATATTTTATCCCGGTTCTCAGGGCCACAAGGGAACATCAACACTTCTGAATTCTTACATTTTATTTAATACACACACTGACTAAATGCCAGAGTTAAAAAAGGAACAGTCCTGTTCATTCAGAAGCTTGAAGGAAGGATTTGGAGCCACTTTGAACCAGCTTTAAACACAAGTATGATTTCTCCAAAACTTTTTCTTAACTGAAAGGCCAGATTTCGGAAAAGTTACTTTATGCTTGTTTGCTGATTCCTGCTATGCAGACCAAGCTCAAAATAAATAAAAATTCATAAAAAAAAACTGATAACTCTCTCTCTGAATGAACAAGTTTTGGTACGGTTTTGGCTTCATAAAAAGACTTAAATGTATATGTATGAAACAATGAATTAATAATTATTGTAGGAACCCAATTACACAATAAGTAAAATACCGGTATGTGAAAAATAAAATCTGATTTTTTTGGACATGCAAACAAGTCAGATTTTAGCTTGAATAAGAGTGAGGTGGCTTGCATCATGGATTGCTCTGCATGTCTATGTTGGACGCAGTAGGACCATCAATGGTCGGACTTGAATTTACCAACCACTTTTGGTTTGGCACTGTATTTCACTATGCCCTTAAACGTTTATTAGTATATTAGAAAAAATTCTGTTTGGTTTTACTTTGAAATGTACATATTAAGTACAATGTTTTTTCTAAAAATGCATTTAGAGTAATTGCAAAGCAATGTGAATACAGTCTTTTATTGTGAAGATAAATCCACTTCAGGTTAATTCAGTTTATTCATATTGTGGGAATTCAAAACACGTGTCATCTCAAGGCACTTTACAGTTCACCAGATCATATAGTTACATTTATTCAAGTTTTCTATCTAAGGAAAACCAGTTGAGTGCATCAACTCATTGAAGACAATCCCTCACACTAAGCATGCTTGTTGCAACAGTGGAGAGGAAAAACTTCCTTTTAACAGGAAGAAACCTCCAGCAGAACCATCTGCCGAGGCTGACTTAGGTTTAAGGAGACAGAAGCAGTGATACAAAAGGCAACTGTAAAAGGCAGCCCCGCTCCAGGAAACAGACAGCCAGGGAGACGAGCTCTGAGTCAGCTCCCATGTCAAAGGATGAAGAAAGCATATCCAGCCAGTCACAGTCAGAGAAACAGGGCTACACTGGAAAACAGAGGTGTTTATGGTCGCAGCAAAGCTGATATTTCTCTCCAGGATGGTGTCAAAGCCAAACAGGAATAGATGAGGCAAAGCTACTATGATAATAGGCACCAAACTAATGCTGCCTGAAAAGTTGGTCTCAGTTCGGCTGCAGTCGATATCTAATAACAGCTGTAATCTGATATATATTCAGAAACAGGGTCGTCTGCCTGTGTGTCGCGGTGAACGCAAATATGCCCCGGCCGCAGACACTCTGGTGCCCCTCTTCAAAATTGTAGGTGATCGCAGACAGTGCCGCAGACAGAAGGCCTCTGATTGGTCAAATCTACAACCGCTCTACGCTATGCGTATTTCCTGTTTGGT